CACCCAGTTTTGAAACTAATCTCAGGAAAGACAAAGTATGTCGGTTAAAGAAATATCTATATTGATTYAAACAATCTCCGAGAGCATGGTTTGAAAGATTTGGTAAAGTAGTCACAAGCTATGGATTTCTTCAAAGTCAAGCTGATCATACCATCTTTTATAAATGTTCTGAAAAGAATAAAACTGCAATTTTGATTGTTTACGTAGATGATATTATTCTTATAGGTGATGATGAAGTAGAATTGGCAGCCTTAAAGAAAAGACTTGCTAGTGAATTTCAAATCAAGGACTTAGGAACGTTGAAGTATTTCTTATGAATGAAGTTTGCAAGATCTAAGAAAGGTGTATTTGTTAATCAAAGAAAATATATTATTGAGTTACTAAAAGAAACAAGAGTTTACTCGGATGCAAGGTAGCTGAAACTCCTATTAAATCTAAGTTGAAATTGGAAGATGAAAAAGAAGAAGAAGAAGTAAAGGATAAAGAACGATATCGAAGCCTCGTGGAAAAACTCATTTACTTGTCTCATACGTCCATATATTACTTTTGCAACGAGCATGGTAAGTTAATTTATGCACTCACCAAGATCAGTTCACTTTGAAGCTGCCTATAAAATTTTAAGATATTTGAAGAGAACTCTAGGAAAAAGTATATTGTTCAACAAACATAATCATTTACAGGTTGAAGTTTATACCGATGCTCATTGGGCATGAAATATAGTAGATAGAAGGTCTACTTCTGGTTATTGTTCGTTTGTTGGAGGTAACTTAGTTACTTGGTAAAGTAAGAAACTGAAAGTAGTGGCCAAAAGCTGTGCTGAAGCATAATTTAGGGCTCTATCCCATGGAATTTGTGAAAGGATTTGGATAAAAAAAAGTTACTTGAAGAACTGAGAGTCTTTCAGAAGGCACTCATATGAGTTTATTGCGATTAAGGGTGTTCGGGTTGGGTCGGGTTAATGGATTTTTTTGGAGCACCCCAAATTTTCGGGTTGGTTAGTTTGTGAACCCGAACGAACCAATATTGATAGCCAACCCAACCAACCAAACCCTACAATTTTCGGGTTGGGTCATCGAGTTCCAATCAGAGAGAGTTGTAAGGGGGAAAATGCAGATGCAACAAGTAACATAGAACACAAAGAGGGTTAAGCCAAAGAGGGAAAAAAATATGGAAGCAAGGATTGAAAACCCATATGAAAAACAAGAAAAAAAGCGTGAAAATCACACCAAAACTTGAGGGTTTAAGAGACTAATTTTGCAGAATAACAAAAAGAAAGGTAAAAAAAACAATACATGAACAAAGAGAGAGGAAACACCTGAAAGTTGTAGCGTTCGATAAAAAGGAAAACGAAGAGGCTGAGGGAGAGAGATGAGTGAGATTGAGAGAGGTGAGAGGAGAGAAATGAGTTAGATTGAGAGAAGTGAGAGGAGGGAGAAGGAGATTGAGGGAGGTGAGAGAAGGTGTGAGGGAAATGGGAGACGGGAGGGAGGCGTAACGAGGGGGAAGAGGGAGAAAGTTAAAAGTAAAACCCTAATTTTAAATTATATGATATTATATATATATATATATATATATATTAATGTTAGGTTTGGTTCGGGTTGAACCAACCAAAAATTGGTTTAACCCGTGAATTGAACTGAATTTTCGGTTCTTAGAAATTCCAACCCAACCCAAACCGAAAAAATTCCTAATCCAAACCAASCCTTTCAGTTTGGGTCGGGTTGATCGGGTCACTATCCCTTACCTCCCAACAATAGAGTAGACTGCTGATGTGTTGATAAAAGGATTACCAAAAGTATAATTTTTTACAAGATGATTGACAAGCTGGTAATGTAAGATATCTTTAAACCAGCTTGAAGGAGAGTGTTAGTATATTAGCTGTAAATATTAGTTGTAAATTAGCTGTAATATTATATTTATTATTTTATCTCTATTTCCTTTTATGTACTGAGTCTCTCTTCTATATAAGAAAACTATGTAATTCTTATCTTTATATTATTTGAATACAAATATTTTTATTCCATCAAAACTAAGTAAAATATAACTTACTTGGAAAGGAAAAACAAATAACCTACCTTTAGCGGGGAAAATGACAGAGACTCGTGCTGCTAACGTGTTGTTAAATTGAAGAGCAAAATAAGGCACCCTGAGTACACGAACAACAGGAAAATATAAGATTGGACAAAATATAGATTTAAAAATATGAAATAAAATATAAAAATTAGAAAAATAAAATTTGTTTGGAATTTCAAATTGGAATTCCCATCAAATTGTATGTATCCATGAACCACACATCGCCTCTATTTATAGGCAATTGAACAAGCATATGGTGTAACAGATTGACACTAGGGATGTGTAACAATGAGCCACATGGAATATTGGGGAATTAAGTACATGGGGCATAGATCAAGGTGACACATGGATTTGAGACGCTAAGCAAATGAACATCTATATTTTAATAATTTATAAAAATATGATTTATATTTTATATTTAGATATAATTTTTATCATTATAAATAAATTGCATAACTATATATATTTAAASCCAAATTAATTTAAAATGTTTTCTACCCTTTTCATTTTTAACTTATTTTACTAACGATAGTAATTATATGTAATATTATGTTTTGTATGAATTATAAATAATAAAATAAATTTATTTAACAATAATTTGTAAGAAATTTATGCATTTTTTATAAACTTAAACCATATAAATTTAGTTAGATAAATTAATTTTCTTAATGAATATAATCAAATTTTATTATAAATTATAAATTATATAAAAAAGTGATAAAATACAAAGTAACAAGAGTATTAAATTTGTTATTAATATGTAGATCCTTCCATCAACTTTTTCATGTGTTCATGGATTTGACATTGACATAAAGGGTAATAGACATTTATGTAGTATGGTAAAGTAATCAACAAATAAAAATTAAAATCAACCAAATTGACTAATGTGGACATAATACTAAAAATAAGAAATTTTAACTTTATTTAAAAATGGTGAACGACTTAAATATATTTTTGTAAATCTTTTTAGAGATATCTATCTACATCAATTCAATATCAATTTTTCCATAAAATTGAGATTCCGACATTTTTATCGACTAGTATGCTACCACGTGCACATGCACGAAATATTTTTAATTTAATTAATTTTATAATAGCACAAATAAAAAAATTACCATTAATTGTAAAAAAAATATTAAACAAAGAAGAAAATTAAGATGTATCAATTTAATTAATTATATATATATTGCAAAATATATTTACCTCCATAATTGCAGACAAACACCTAGTTCCAAAATTTAATTGTAACATCTCAAATCAATAATACATAATATGGATTAATATATTCTCTTAATACATCACATAACATCCTAAATTACTTTTGATATTACGTAGACTTGAAAAATGAAGGAAACAAAAGAAAACCAAAGTAGAAAAAATAAAATAAAACTCACATTGGAGAAAATGGTAGAATAACTATTTTTTATAATAAGAGGGTGAAAGAGTTATAAAGCTTTTTAAAATTCCATAATTAATTATGACTAAAGATAAATCTATAAATTTTTAGAAAATAAATAGTAAAACTTTTCATATTCAAAATTTTTAATTCGAATTTGTATTATTGAAATAAATTTTATTTTAAAGATTTTTAATTCGAATTTGTATTATTGAAATAAATTTTATTTTAAAGTAGTAAATAAGTGTAGTTTGTATATATATAAGTTTATATATATATATATATTAATTCTTTTGAATCTTTTTGTATTTTTAGATTTAATTTCATTATATTTTTTTTAGAGATTTTAAGATTCTTGTTATTCTAAGATTAAATATAATATAATTAACAGTAATAATTATTAAATTAATTTAAGTAAACAAAATTTTTCATATTCTAACCTTAACACGTGTATGTACTATTTTTTTTCTTTTACTTTATTTTATATTATCATAGTAAAATTAATATAAACTTTATAATTTAAATTTATAAAAAGTTCTTTGCTTATATATTATAAATTGATAAATTTATTTTATTATTTACAATTAGTAAATTTATACAAATATGAGATTAAAATTAGTAATGATTAATAAATATGCTCAAAATAAAAATATATGAAATATCTTAAATTAATTATCTCAACGAATTTTGAGTTACATTTAATTATTTTTATATAATAATTAAAAAATAAATAGGTGTTTTAATATTTTTATTTTTAAAATGTTATTTTACATAATATGAATCCTTTATTTTTTAAAATTTTGTGTTTGTTTGTTAAAGATTCTAAAGATTTTTACAACTAACCTTTTAAATATTATCATTAAATTTATTAAAGAAAATTTATTTAAATTATATTATTATGAAATGACAAAAATTTTATATTTCACTTTTTAAGATTTTATACAATTATTGTTGATAATTAATTTATTAATTTACTATTTAATTAATTAAACATTTTTGATGTATTAACTTACCTAAGATTTTTTCCACAATAAGAACGATCTATATTTTAAACTGATAGTATAAATAAAACTGCTCAAAAGAAAAACATTATAAATAAAAAAATACAATAATTATAAAAAGAATAATAAAAAAAATGGTAATAGAAAAAATCTTAATCCTTAAGTATAGACTCATCTTTTAGGTATACATACATCCTTTGCAACTCGATAGATATGTATCTCTTGCCACTTGATGAATATGTCAAAATTATTGTTATGAACTCATGACCTTCTAATCAGAGATAGATATCTAAACCATTTGAGCTATACTCGGTTTGACATTTATAACAATATATTAATGCATAGTTTGTAATTTGTAAAATTAGTAGGGGATAAAAGTGTCCAAAAATATTTTTCTTACCTACTCGCCTTTTAAGATAGTATAGATATTTGACATTTTAAACTTTGGCTATGATAATAAACCCAAAAAAAACCGCCCCAACTAGCAAAAGCCGGGCAGCGGTCTGTGAGGCCAAGATTTCGGAATTGTTCTTTTGCAAGTCGCTGCATTTAGCATAAGAGGCCACCGATAAGAGGAAAAGAAAAGAAAAAACCGCGTTTCAATGGCGACGGATTCTGGATCATCGTCCTCGGAAGAAGAACTATCATCATCTTCCCCTCTCAACGAATCTTCTTCAGGGAAACCTCAATCACTGGCCAGCTTGGCCAAGCCTTGGGCCGACTACGCAGCCCATCAGGCGCTTCTCTACCAGCGCACTATCGACGATTCCTTAGAATCTGCCATTCAAGCCTCAAAATCTCGCCTCTCTCAGATTCGTTCCACCTCCCACCCTCATTTACAGAAGACCATTGTAATTTCTCCTCATCTTTTTTTTTTTTTTTTTCTGTTATTCTTTGATGTTAGAGAGGTATTGAATTGTTACTATGCATGTTGAATTGAAGTGAATTTGTAGACATTTTGGTTGAGTGATGCTTGTTCTGTATCGCTTGATTTCATTTAGGTTCGACAGTAGGAATAATCGAACTCTAGACCCTCTTTGTTGAACGAAAATTAAAGCTCTCTTAAAGTCTCTTGAAGCAATTGTTGACTTTGTCCAATAAAAGTAGGTAAAAACTTATGACTGGCTCTCCTGATTGGCTTGTGAGTGGAGTGTGCAGGAAGCTGGTGAGGTGATGTAAAATGGTGGCATTTCCTAAGTGCAACTGATGTTTTTGGAACAGAGAAGAGTTAGTACTAAACTATTAATTCATAGGTTTGCCTAGGAGAGCGGTTTTCTTGTATTTTGCAAGAATATTATTCTCGTTGCTTTCTTGTCAGTAAGCTTTGTAGTAGAGAACTTTTATTCGGTTTCTTGCTTAAGTTCTTTCCCCCAAGTTTAATGGAGGGCGATCAACTGACCCGGTAATCCGAACCTTGCCCGGACATTGCAATTACTCGTGCCAGTCACGAGCCACTCCCCGCCGACAAAGAACCAAGAGTCCTTCAAATCCTCTACTAAACTTGGGCATGTCATGACTTGCCTAGGGCCGCGAAGCGATGCCTTTGAAGGAAGACCCTGTCCTGGTGGACCTTGCCCCTCTGTGGCACACTAAGCATCCTAACTAGGTCTTGCCTTGCCCCTCTGTGGCACACTAAGCATCTTGACTAGGTCTTGGCTCACCCCCTCCTTCGAGAAATGTTTTCTCTCCTTATTTTTAGATAGATAAACAAATAAATTTTCTTTTGGAGATTCAACCTTCAAGGCAAAAGGATACAAAACGTTTGGGGTAGCAATATCGTCACCTCCCTGAGCCACCGCCATGCGATAATACTGGCCAGCAACATATTCTAACTGTTGGGAGTCAACTATGTTGGAGCCAGTTGAATGTCGCTCAGAAAATGTTGTATGAAGAGGTGGAGTGGCGGCTGCACTCCATTCTCGAACATCGTAACATATAGAGCCATTTCTCCTACTGGAGGATGAGTCATACGCTCATGGGGCCCTAGGACCCTAATAGTAATCGTATAGGACGCCATACCGTGACCGATAGCAGTCTAATACACTTTGCGTAACCTGCAAGCGAATTCTCGACAAGCTAGGTGTTGGTACATCTCTCGGGTAAATGTACTACTGTTACGTTACCTGCAAGGCGCCCTCTCCACATCAACACAACCTATAGCCCCATGTTCCTATTTCTCCACAAATCACCCTATTTTCACTAAGAGAGCGAACCCCACCGTCGTCAGATATGCCATTAATCTCCGCATTCAAACGCCCAGCGAGGCTATTCTCCCTCCTAGAGTCGTCTATAACTAAAGGTGAAGAAGAAAACGAGAGTCTCTCTAAACTTGGGGTATTTACTAACCTAGACCCTAACTCCTTTAACTCAAGTCCCAAGGGGCTCAGTGTCGAAAACTCCTCTAAGTCAGGCATATTCGAAAAAAGGGGAGGTTCAAAAGATACGTGGTTACCTCGCAGCCAAAAACCACCCAAATCACTACCTGAAAGCTGCTAAAAAGAAGACTGGCCAAAAGCAGCATTAAAAACGCCTAAACACTGCGAAGAGAGGTATAGTGAGCAACTGCACCAACCGTTGCAAAAATTCATCCTAAATCTGTCAAAACGGCCGCGTAAAATACAACCTAAAACCACACAATATATTGATGGCAAGGGAAGAAACAAATAGAAAGCTTTAAGCCCAAGACCCCTATTTATATTCGAGAAGACCTACCTTGAAAATTTCCGATCTTGAGGTCACATCCGATGATCCTTGAAAAAAGGCGCATATTGCCGCACTATGTTGATGGCAAGGGAAGCGATTTAAGGCGAATTGAGGTGGAAATAGTGCGGCAATGGGGCGACGTGTGGGTTGAGCGGCGGTGAGTGAGATTGAGTGGCGGCAATGGGGCAATGCGTGAGATTGAGTGGCGCAACGAACTTGACGGTTAGGGAATGCGGGTTAAAGCGGAAATAGGGCGGCAATAGAGTAGTCCATCGGTTGTGTGGCGCAAGGAGTTTGGCGGCTAGGGAAAGGAAGTGTAAAGAAGGAGAAATCAAACATTTATACTTTCAAATTAAGAAAAACCCTAACTTTGAAGTGGGGGCCTACAGAAAAACCTAACAGACCTATTTAGAGTTTGTGCCAGGCTCAAGGAAGTGCCCAAAAAGAATAGGTGGGAAGCGTAGTGTGGGCTCAGCCACGCGCATTGCACGGCGCATGCAGCCAAGCTCCCATAGCCATGCGCATAGCGTAGCCAAGCACGTATAGCCAAGCCCCATGCAAAGCTTGCGCGGCCAGGCCCCTGCACAGCCAAGTCACATGCGTGGCCTAACTCGTTGTGCAACTTTAGGCTCGCACTACAAATGAACAACTATCCATATAGCCAGGAAAGATAAATGCTTCTTGAAAGGGCACATGGCCAATCCTATAAATAGAGAAGAAGTGCAGCCTTTTAAAGTAAGTCATTCCTCCTTCCTTCCTTTTACCTTGGCTCCCTTTGGGTAGTAATTCAAAGAGGGTAACATTTTGGTATCGAGTCTTAGAAAAGATTATGAAACATTTCTCTTTTTTTTGGTTAAGAAACAAAATGTATTATCGACAAATGAGGAGCAACAACCTAAGGGCGGGGGCCAAGGTGGCCCTCCCCAAAAGAGCTAATACACTACAGCTTTCCAATCTCGAGAGAGTAAAGCTATATTGTAATTACCAAAAAATCTCCTATTTGTGAGGCACCAAGAGGCTGTTGTTATTTGTACATTTTCACAAAAAATTCCAAAAGGGGTGGAGGTATTGTTGAAAACTCTTTGGTTTCTTTCCTTCCAAATACACCAAATAAGAGCTTGGCTAGCGCAACTCCACAATGCTTTTGCTTTCTCTTTTAAAGATTCAGAAACATCTCTCTTCTTAGGGGGAAGGCTTTCTTTTTTAGAGGGGTATATTAACTCTCATCTAGTCAGTTCTAGTTGAATGCCTATTGCCACTTTTTCTTGTTTAGAATTTCTATCTCGGTGAGTAAAAATTTAAAGAAAATAATGAGGGAGTTTTAATGGGAGTGAGTTGATGAGAAGGGAGGTTCTCATTTGTTTAGTCAGCAGGTCATCGTGTGCCCCTTGGTCCAAGTCGGTCGGGGTATTGGTAACTTGAGATTGCATAATGAGGCCTTGTTGGCCGAAAGTGGTTGGATGGTGTATCCTTATGGAACCAAACACTTTATCGCATAAGATTACTGTGAGCAAATACAGTTCACACTGTTTGAGTGGGATTCAGCTTGTGGGTCTAAGGGCTATTCTAAAAACCTCTGGTATGCTATAATTTTAGGTTCCCAATCGTTTTTTAAATTCATGAATGTGCTATTGGGGAAGGCTCAAAAACTTATTTTTGGGAGGAGTGTTGGGTAGGAGACAAGCCTTTTTATTCTATGTTTCCTCGTTTGTATCATCTTTTCGATAAGAGGTTGCATTTGGTGGACTCTGTCATGCCTTCCTCTGGTTCTTCATCCTCCCTTTCTTTGGGTTTTCATCGTGCTTTGTTGGATAGAGAGACATTGGAAGTGGCAACCTTTCTTTCGAGTTTGGGTAACGTTCGGGTGGAACAGGTGATTATTCCAGGGAGGAAGGATGTCTACTTTTGAACCCTAACCCTTTGGGAATCTTATGTGTCCCTTCATCCCCACCCGAGGCCCCTTCTTTCTTTGCTCTTTGGAAGGTAAAGATCTCCAAGAAGGTCAAATTCTTTGCTGACAAGTCTTGAATGAGAGAATGAACACCTTAGATCGTGTTCAAAGGCATTCCTCCATAGTGTTGGGCCCGCAGTGGTGTAGTCTTCGTAAACAGGCAACAAAAGATCTTGACCATCTCTTGTGGAGCTGTTCGTTCGCACAGGCTTTATGGAGTCGCTTTGTGATAGTTTTTGGGATTTACGGGGTGGGTAATGAGGAGATTGTTGTTCTATGATGGAGGAGGTTATTGTGAATCTCCCTTTCTGAGAAGTCCTCTGCAAACTTGTTCTTTGCCATTTTATGGAATATTTGGCTTCAGAGGCATGATAGAGTTTTTAAAGGGGTTGAAAGATCTTGGAAAGAGGTATGGGATATGTTAGGTTTGACACCTCTTTGTGGGCTTTGGTTTTTAAATAGTTTTGTAATTATCAGTTAGGTGTTATTATTTTTGATTGGAGTGCCTAGGTAGTTTCCTTTTGAGACTCCTTTTTGAGGGGCGGTTTTTTGTGTGCCATTGTGTTTTTCTTTCATGTTTATCAATGAAAGCTTAGTTTTTCATTTAAAAAGAGGAACCAGCAAATATCATTTTGTAAACTTTTGTGGTTAAGAGAAATTTGGGCATTTTGAGCTGTGAAAAATTTGTTGCAGCAGAATATCCATSTTTGGTTTTATTATGGAGACAAAATTGGAAAAAGCTATAGTTGAAGTTTTGAGGGTGAAGTTGGTTGTCCTGTCCAGGATACTTGGTAGTCAAGAGTCAAGGGTGTAATGTACATTGGTTTATATTATAAAGTGCTGGAGAAGGTTTCTATTTTTTCTCAATTTCAGAATGATGCATTTATTTTAGTTGTAATTGCTGCTGGAGATTTATTGGTTTGTTTCATTCAATTACATTTTTAGTCCTTGAAGTTGGACTGTTGTGTAAATTTAGTCTCTAAATGTTAAAAAGTTTTAATTTCAACTCTAAAATTTTGATTTTGATTCTAATAAGTTCCCATGTTAAAGGACCCTTACTTGAAAGGTTGTTACTTCTAATATTGATGGGGTTGATTCAGTTTCAGTGGACGTTGGAGTTCTCTACCCAATATCTTGCTGCTTTTGAATTATTTATAGAGTGCTTTCTGTCTGCACAGAGGAAGTTATGGTGCTGTTCCTTGTACTTTGAATCTTTTATTGGCTTCTTATTATGAAGCAAAAAGAGTAATTACTGGTTCCCCGGGTATAAGGGAGCAAAGCTCCGACTTTCAGTTATCCAAAAAAAAAAGCAAAAAGAGTGATTGTTTTCTTGGGAACATGAAACATCTGACATTTTGGAATTTAAAGATGCAAGTTATATGCCTGTCTTTTCTTGTCTTGATGGCACTTACATGATCTCAATCATTAAAAGCTTTTGTTTCTCGTTATAATAAATAAATGAAAGTTATATTATCTCATTTTTATTTTCTTGCCAAAATAAATAATACATGTTCTTTATAATGGACTCCTTGATTGGTAGCCCCTCGTTCGTTCATTTTCTGATTGTCCTACTTTTGACTCTTTTGTTTTGTTTTGTTTTTTTGTTTTTTTATCTAAGCTTATCATTATATGCATTGAATTGCCTTTAGGATTCATTTCAAGATGCAAAGTCAGAGCTTGCTGCTTATGAGAATTTATTATTTGGAAAAATTAGAGGTTTGTTCCTTAGCTAACAAACATTGTGTTCGAAAGTTAGTTTCGAACTTTAACTTCTTTCTTTTCTTTTTTGAACATTCAAATTACTGAAAAGTGTTATTTTCAATTTTTTCTGCAGATGGTATTCTTGTTGCTGCATCACATCCGCTGATCAGTTGCGGAGTTGCAACTGGTTTGGGTTTCTTAGTCCTTAAAAGTACGGTTATTTTATTATTTGTTTTCTTTATGTGTTTTATGAGAGTTCTTATACAACTAATTTCATAGGTTCATTTTTTAAACTCTAAATACATATCATATTACACATTTGCTTTCCAGTAACCCCAAATTTTTTATCTTGTTCAATCTCCAAAAAGCACGTACATTACGACACCATTGCAATAGATTCACAGTTCACCTAGACTTGGAGGCTATTTATCTAGTTTATACGTGAGACTTCTTACATCTGAATTCTTGAACTTGTTTTTTTCAAACATAATTCTAATATTCTATTTGTTCTTGCAGAGCCGAGAAATTTCTTATACCACAAAACCATTCGTCTTTTCATGAATGAAGAGGTGAGCAAAATCTAATTTTCCATTTGTTGTTCTGTTTCCTCATTCTTCTTCGGTTTTATTTTTTGATTTTTTTTTGTTGGATAAAGAATGAGACCTTTCATTCATGAAAGAGGAATACAGGAATTATCCAATTAGCATTGCATAAATAATATAATATCATAATTACAAAATGAAAGAAAAAACATAGGATGTGGAACTCCAAGTAGAAGCTTTAGAGTGAAGCGATTAAAATTCCAAATTTTATTTAGATATCTACTTGAGCCCTTGGAAATCCTCTTGGAAATCCTGTTGTTCCTTTTGAGCTAAGTTTTCTGTAGATGCTTTCAATTTGGCCGCACATTTCCCATAGAGTTTAAGCATTTATTCTTGAATGGATGACCTAAAAGGAGTTGTTCATAATACAAAAATGATAATATGAAATCAACATGAAAAGACTAAGGGGTTAGAAGAACTTCCTCCAATTAGCATTTATACAGAATATCGTAGAAGCAAAAAAGAAACACCAAGTAGAGGGGCTTTAAAGTTTCTAACTTCCTGAATTTTAGTTAGATTTTTCACCTGCCTTTGTAAAGTCTTTGGTTTCTTTTGAGCCAAGTTTCTGTGAGGCCACCAATTGTTAATATTTATTCTAGGACGGGTAGAGAGGAAACTTCACATCCAAGTTAATTAGGGGTAAAGGGGGAACTTCCCACCCAAGTTAGTTAGGCTGATGGTGCGGTTGTCTATAGGGGTGGGGATTATAGTAGCAAGGTGTCCATGGGATTAGGGCAAGTTCTTTTCTTTTTTGGATAGTGTTTAGGAATATTTTGGAGAGTTTCTCAGCCCTCTCGAATAGGCTGGTTGCTGCTTTGTTTACCTAAGCGCTTGTTCTACTTTTAATACCAAAAATCGTAAGGTGATACCTTACCGTTTCCCCCAAGATGCTTTTAAGCATTGATTTTTGAAGGGATGACCAAAAAGGAGTTTTTCACGATACAAAAATGGGTAATGAGAAATGAATTTGAAATGGCCAAGGAATTACAAAAGTTTTCTCCAATTAGCATTGATAAAAAAAATATCGTCGTTACAAAAGGGAAAAGGAAAAAAAAAAAAAAAAGCTTGAAAGTGGCTAACTTTCAAAATTTATATCTCTACCTGTGTTTTTGGAAACTCTGTAGTTTATTTTGAGCAAGGTTCCAAGCAAGGTTCCAAGGTGCTCTTGACAGCTCATTATCATAGAGATTAGCTTGCCATTAGAGAGTTGGAGAGTCAAGGACACCAGTTAACGCCATTTAATGTTGATTTCTTGGAATAGGAGACTCCCCTGCTCTTGGATAGTTTGGCACTAGTCTACTAGATGGTTGCAATCTTTCAAGTTCCAAGCTCAAAGGTAATAGAAGGAGAGACGAGTATATTTGGAAATTTTCTTTGGATATTTTCAGCCGTGTTTAAACTTTCCAAAGGTAGGCACCAAAGGGAAAATATCACATTTTTTGTAGGACTGCCTCAAAAACATAAGGTATAATATTGATCATAAGGATGGACCCTCTGTAGTAAAAGCTTAGAGAGAATGAGTTAAACCATGGTGGCTACCTACCTAGAATTTTACTTAATCCTACGAGTTACCTTGGAAATCAAATATAATAGTGTCAATTGGTTGTCTCATGAGAATAGTTGAGGTGCGTGCAAGCTGGCTTGAATATTCACGGTGGTAAAGAAAAAAAAAAGAAAAAAAGAGAAGGGAAGAATGGACCATCTATTTGTCTGGAAGGACATGTAGATATTGCACTTGAAGGTGCCTGTGTTGCAAAGATTCTAACTCAGTCTATCCTCTATTTGATTAGGATTACAATAACTCAAAAAGTGATAGCCTTGACAAGTTTTCAACTTGAAGTCCACCTTTTTTATGATTAAAAGCTCTATTCTGGCCCATTCGATGACTACCACTTTGGTTACATTCACTAGTTCTTATAGAAACCTCTCATTTTTTGTTTGTGGATTTAGAATATTTTCTTTTTTTTGGAAAAGAAACAGATTTCATTAATGTAATGAAATGGTAAAAGAAACAAAAGGGGAAGATCCCAAACCAAGGGAGTTACAAAAAAGCTCTCCAATTGGTTAAAAGAGAAACAAAGCTATAGTGTTTAAAGATAGGAGAACATTTACACCAAGATACAACCATAGACACTATAGCTTCAAAAATGATGCCAACGGACAGCTCCTTTCCTAAG